CTGTCGTCTGACCAAAGCCAGATCAAAAGTGTAAGTGTTTCACCTCCTGCAGCGCGTCATCTGATAGATTGCAGGGGCTCGACGAGCGTGTCCTGCTGATGCTGCAGTAGTCTGTCACAGGGAGCAAGACGCTGCTGAGCCGGGCTGTCTGCTACACTCATGTCTGAACACTAGCGTCACAGCCCTGCAACACTTTGGACCTGAGCTGAGCAGGGGGGTGGATTATACCTTGTCGCCTGTTGTTCTGTCCTACTTTTGCATGCCAGGGTGATGCTGACCTTGACTGTGTGTGTGGATGTGACATTTGCTGTCATCATACTCCTTTGTTAAGGCCTGCCTTGGTTGAACATGTCCTTCTCCAGTGAGAAATGTGGATGTTCATTTCTTTTACTCATTAGAATCCCCACACAGACTCATCTTTACTTCTCTCATCACTTGGCTGCACTAGAACCTTTTCACTACTTGATGGATGATACTAAACCTCTGAGAAAACAGTTGACAAAAAGCATTAAACTCCTAAAGTGAAGAAGAATCTCCTGATTGCCCCCTCATCCCACAGGGTGTGCCTTGTACGTGTGCATTAGAAAACAGTTGTAGTAGGTGGGAGGATGTGGTGAAGAGCTTTCATGATGAGGTTTACAGCTGATTTCTTACACACTACACTGATCAGTCTGTGAAACAGTTGACCACGTTTCTTTTCTTTAGCCAGCCATGAATTAATGTACCTGTTCTTTACATTCCCACTCAACCTACTGCCCTTTTAGTTTGTCTGTTATGTGTCATGTAGTCCAAGCACTTTATCAGCTACTGTTTAATTCAAGGATCTGTGGTCTTAATATGATTGAGCTTTGATTCACTTCCACTAATAAACTGAAACCTGAAAGCAATATCAGACATAGACACGCAATAGGTCATTTATTGTCACATTTTGTATAGGAAGCTACAGGAGTTTGTTTTTTTTTTCTACACAGCTATGAAACAAGTTCTGCCTGTGGTGACTGCAACAAAACTTCAGTGACGAAACGACGTCTCACATTTCACACTTTGTGTTTACGAGAGAGAATATTTCCTATATCATGACATCATTCCTTTTGTGCTGTTATCTTGGTGCTTTTCTTACTTTTTTCTTTTCTTAACCCACCTGGTGTTTTTTGTTTGTTTGTTTTTGCATGTGTGCATAGACTTTCTTTTTGAAATGTATAAACATGTATGTCTTTGTACACCACAACCTTTTCTTTTCTCTAACATCTACACTTGTGGTTGTAGCAGGGGAGGAAAGCCTGATAAGATATTTGACATGAGTATTACTTTTCAGTTGATAACTTAAGCTATGCATAATTTAAGGTCATTGTCTTAGGTTGCTTATATTGACATGCACTGGCCTTCTTGGACTGGTTGTGCAGTTTGGCACCATGGATTAAGGTTGTTAAAGGTCTTATTTATGTTGTTTTGTTTGTGTTTGTATATACATTATGTGTGTGTGTGTGTGTGTAGGGACAAACCAAGTGATGAATATATATATATACACACGATTTTGAACAAATACATTGTTTTTGTGTCCCTTGTTACTTTGTGTGGAGAAAGCTGCATGTCTAAATCAAGAAGAAACCTGCTATAGGTGATGCTGCACAAACTACTGCATTAGATCAGAGGCATAAATAGGCGAAAACAAATACTGATTAGGTTTTGGAATGAGGTTTTTATCTGGACCCAGATTCTCCCAAAGAGCGTTGTTGTTACGGATGAGGCCCACCAGTTACTATGGGGGGGACCCGGTGATGTCAACGCTGATGTAAAAAATTAAACGGGGAAGCCTGCAGATCTCTGGTGCTTTCCGCGGAAATGGAGCAAATTAAAAAACAAACAAAAAAAAAAACCCCAGCAGATTTGACTAACAGGCGGTGACTGTGCGTTTATGGCCATTTTGTGCAGAGGAAGCGCAGCCTGGCTTGTTGCTGCTGCAGCCCCTGGTCCACCGATCGAGTGCTCCCTGCCCTACAGCCTGTATCTGATCATCATACAGAGATTTCCCTCCCTGCTGCATGCGTAACATCTCTCCAAGTCCAGCCGTGGTGCTCACCGAGACCTCGCTGCTTGGATTTCATCTTCCTACACGGAATACGCACGACTCCCACTGAGCGAGCTGCTGAGGCGAAATTAAAACGCCAGGATTCATCTGTTCGGGTTCAGTCCAGACCGAAACGAGGCTGGGATTTCCACTTATCATTTGATTTTTGACAGATCCTGTTTTTGTGTGCGTGTGTGCGAGCGTGCGTGTGTATGTGTGTTGGGTGGAGTCAACCCGGAATTCTCCAAATTGGAAAAGCATTGGCACATTTCAGGTAGGTCGGCGGCTGTAGCCTACATGTACATTAATCTGCTGACAGCTGAGTGATGCAGCGAAGCGTCCAGAGATTTTTATATTAGTCATTCATGCAAAATCATTTGTTTGTTTCATGATGTGTGGTTTCTGCTCTAACCAGGGCCGCAGCTCGCATGGTGTGTGCCCATAATTTAATCCCCTTAGAAATAAGACTCGCCCATGTTTGACAGATCTGCATCAACAATCAGCATCGTTACATTTGGATTCAACGACGTCGACCCCGTTAAAGCGCCCGGGACAGTTGTATGAGCTACAGGATGAACGGGTCTAGGGGAAACCTAAATGGAAAGGCCTGATAGCTTCCTACGAGGGTGTGATTAAAAGCCATAAATTAGCTTTAGAGGCACGAAGGGTGGGACTGGAGAGCCAATTCACCGCCTGCATCCTCCTTTACAAAACATCTGCTGAATAATATCCGTTTAAATCCAGCTAATTTTGATGTGATGCGATGGAAATAAACTAATAGGTGCAAAAAGATCCACAGTGAGTGAGAAAAATGCTTAATTTTTGTATTCACATGACTATAAAACACATCTGTGGTCAGGCGTCATCTCTGTGCTGTGGCTGCCAAATGTTTCAGGAAGGGGTCAAGGGGCCTGAAATGAGAGCAAATGTAGTCATTAGCCTACATAGATACTGTAGGTCTACAGAAAGGCTGATTGCATTGGAGCAGATTAAACGCACTGCAGATGAAGAGTGGACAGGTCTGCTCCATTCTGGTGGTGCGGATCCAGAGGAAGGAAAGTTGTAGGTTTGATTTTTTGAAGGGTCTCAGAAGTGATAATTAAAGGGAAGGAGGCAGCAGAAACCCAGGAATGTCAAAATGCCCTTGAGCAAAGCACCCAAGCTCTGTGGTGAGCTGTGCCGCTCCACAGAGGTGTGGGTGTTTGTATGTGGTCCAGTGCTCTTTGCCTTTGTAGCATCTCCCCCAGCCTGTTACTGTAAATAATTACTATAAAAAAAACTAACCATGCATGAAGCACTGAGTGATAAATGACAAACCACTGTCCAGCTGCTCCCTTCAAAGCTCTTTCTTCAGATAAAATAGAGCTTTGCTGCTGTAAAACAGAACCCCCCCCAGACAAAATGGGTCCTTTAAATTAAAAAAAAATTTTAAAAAAAAGGCTGTGACAGAGGATGGCTGCTTCGAGGAGGGCAGACACATCACCGGGGTGGGGGGCTGCTTTCTGGATCTAATGATCTAATGTGATGTTCACTGGCTTTGCGTGTCCCCCTCTGCTCTGTGCCTGTGTTTGGAGTCACAGGAGCACCATGAAGGACGGTATTGCCAACAACAGCACAGCCAGCATCTCCCAAGCCAGGAAAGCTGTTGAGCAGCTGAAGATGGAGGCCTGCATGGACAGGATAAAGGTACAGAACTCTGACTTTGACCTGTGTCTATGAGCAGATATTAGCACGGTTCTTTATTCTTGGGGATTTACCTGTCAGAAGGACTGAACAATTTCAAGTGAGACATGCTTGTGGGACTTAGGGCCACATGTTTCCAGCTGTTCTAACAAACTGGTCTCTCTTATTCTTTCACACTTGTTCTTTGCACCTTGAACAGGACTGAAAGGCTGGAAATTTACAAAAGCAGCCCAGTGAGACTGTAATGAGACAATGTTATAATATGAAACAAAAAGGATTAGTCTCTGATGAGCATAACAGAGATTTCCAATGCTGTCATCTTAATTTCACTAAAGACAAGTGCACTGGAAAATGGTTTTCCAGGTTGGTCTATAAGGATATTACAGACTGTATCATTTCATACTTTTGTATTGAAATTATGTGTATATTCAGAAAGGAAGACGGAGGCAAATGCAGTTTACTTCGACATAACTGAGTTCAACAATATACATGTTTATTTGTAATACATGAACAAGAAAGAATGAGTGGGATTAGAGAAGGGGCAGTGAGGAGTAGGAAGGGGGGATGGGGTATAAGGTGGGGGTTTTAGGAGGAAGGATGTTCTGCTGCCCTCCTGTTCCTCCTTTTCTCCCTTCTCTTCTTCTTTGTCTTCTTGTTCTTTCTTCTCACTGCTACATGTAGTCATCTCCTTCTTCACCTTCTCATTCGCTCTGTCCTTCATCTTTTCTTTCTCCTTCCTTATCATACTTTGATTTTTCTTCTCCTTGCTCTTCCCTGTTTTTCTCCTGCTCCTTTTTTAACACTGTTCTCCAGTCATTCCTTTGTTTGAAAGACGAGCCCCTGAATGGAGAAAAATCTTTTGTTCCACATTCAAAAATTAATTCTGTTCACCTAAAACAAGCAGCTAGAATCCAGTGAGATAAAATAATCAGCTGAGGTGTTGTAGCTGAAGCTCCTGTTCTCCAGTCATTCCTTTGTTTGAAGGACGAGCTCCTGAAAAGAGAAAAATCTTTTGTTCCACATTCAAAAATTAATTCTGTTCACCTAAAACAAGCAGCTAGAATCCAGTGAGATAAAATAATCAGCTGAGGTGTTGTAGCTGAAGCTCGTTGTTCTTGGAGGTGAGGAGGCTGATCTGTTCAGCAGTCTGGTTCACCTCCTTTTTGAGCCATTCCTCACAGAGGAGTTTCTCCTCTAGCTTTCCTCTCTGTGCTCCAGTTCCTATTGCAGATTCGTCTCCAGACTATCACACCCAGCCTTCCACTGCTCTCTAGCTCCAGGTCTTTTTGAGCCAGCAGGGCCCAGAAGTCCACGTGAACTTTGGTGTGAGCCCACCGTTTTGTGGTTTCCCTTTTGAGCAGCTCATCTTTCTGTCTGAGCTCCTGTTGGATCTGGCCAAGCTCTTCCTGCTTCTGTCCCAGGAGGCCAACCTGCTACTTTAGAGCAGTGTTTTCCTCCATGAGGGACTTGATCTCATTGATGGCTGATTACAGAGCTTTTCTGAGGCCCTACACAACTGAGTTGTCATGGGGCTGGTCAGTGTACTGTGGCTGCACTGCAGCCCGTCAGTGCTGCTTAGGGCCACAGAAGGCAGGTCTGGACTGACTTGGTCCAAAAGCCTGAAAATACAAACACAACTGCAGTTTTTAGTTAAGATACAGTCACATCCTAAGAATGGATATAGATCAAACTACTCTAAGAACAGCTCTCCTTGGAGCGTCTCAACAGGGAAGATCAACTCACATTCAACAGATTCTACACAAAACAAATTTTCTATACAATTTATTTAAAGTGGCTGAGTTTGTTTGGGTTAAATTATTAAACCTGTGACACACTGACCTATGAAAATCAGTATGATTCGTGGAAAATTAATAGACTTTACTGGCCCTTTAGACAAAATATGAATAAATAAGCTGCTCTAGAGAGGCACAGTTGCCAAAAATGTCTCCTGGTCAACTGGTACCTGGTTGCTTCATCTGTTCATTTCAGCTCAGAGCAGATTTAGGAGCAGCAACAACGGTAGCAGTCACACTTCAAATGAAGTTCAACTGGAAACTGTATCATAGTTTCAGAGTTGTAGTTCATTCTGATACAGCAGTTGTTCAAGTTAATGTTGTTCAAAGTGTAGATGTTGTTTTCACCAAAGACAGAGATGGTTCTCGGTTCAGGCTGATGAGTGAGAATGTGAAGACTTTTGACTGGAAGTGTCTCCAGCAGAATGTACATTATGGTGTCAGAATAATGATGCTGTGGAAACTGGTCAAGATTTTAACAAAGCTCTTGGTCACATTTCTCTGATTCATCTACAACAGTCATGCAGTTGAAGCACTTCAGGGAAATATTCACATTATAGTTTTGTTTAAAGTAAATGGAGATGTTAAAGACACACCAAGCTGTCTACAAGTTGATTTTCATAGCAACAATTAAGAAACAGTGTACCTCCACATTTTAAAAGGATTGGTTTTAAATCATGTTAGTCATCACATCAGTCACCATTTTCAGTGTGTCAGTTTGTACAAACACCAGGACATACCTCCAGCTTGATTTGTTTGACTAAAGACTAGATTAAAAGGGTGCACTCCCATGATGTTGTTCAGACCATCATTATGAGCATCCAAATGAGAAAATCAGCCTAAAAGTTCCAAGTCAGAGAGACGGGCAGTTACTAACCCACCACTGTTGGCAGTTACAATACATCCAAAAGAAATTCTGTATAGTCACTATGACAAATTTGTGAGTTTTGACATTAGAAATGAAATTGACTTGGTTTGATTTGACTAATTAAAAAGGACCTATACATTGTTTTTTTGTTGTCTTTATGTCTGGTTTCATGTTAATGAACACTCGTACATGTAACACACCATAAAATGGCTCCTCTTGGCTTCCTTGCTCTGCCAAACTGTAGAAACCACTATTTGACTGTGTTTAACAACTGGCGTTCAGCCTCACTTCTTTGTTGTCAGTTGTTACATAGGGCTGCAGCCAGGTTTTGAGTGGATTCCCATAATGGTGCCATTAGGATCACAACAAGAACTGTTTTGTGAATCACAAATGATGTTTTCCATTTGTAGTTTGTTTGCAATGGAAAGAAAGAACACGCTGCTACAATGATCATGACCGATGAAAGAAAACATATCGAAGAATGTCTCAGTGTGGCATCAAGCTTAACATCACTGTGGTCGAGCTGTGCTATAAGTTATAAACTGCTTATTGCTAGAACATAAAATGTGAGCATGTATGATGCCCAACACAATGTGCAAGCTAAACTAACCCGCTCATGGAGTGTTGAAGGTGAAAGAGAAATGGTAAAAAGTGCAGAATATGAAGTTGTTTTCTTAAATGAGCAGAGAAGTGTTTGAACAGATGTGACTTGGCACTGTAGCATGCTATGGAAAAAGACACTTGAATGGAAATGAATCTTAAATGTCACAGTTGATTTTTATCTGAAGGGCTTTCACTCAACTCCATAGTGGGTCTGACGAAAAATGTAAGCTTTCAGAATATTTAATTTCTGCAGTCTCATTTGACTGCAGAGTGGTGCATCTTTGCTCTTATGTGAAAACCTTTTAGAGCGAAATTTTTAACTCTTCAGGAGCCAGGCTGTATGTTTTGTGTTTCTTTTTTCTTCAGGAGGACAAACAGGTTTGTTTCTTTGCTTGAAAGTCACGCGTATTTGGTTTCATCAGGCAATCGGGTCTATTCTCTTTTAAAAAAGTAATTCTTTGTGACAAAAGAGAGCTGGTGAAGTAGAACGTGGCTGTAAATGAATGCAGAGAATAGTAGAGTCAAAGAGAAGACAGCAGGCTGTTGGCCACGGCTGGCGGTCCCTTAAATTTAATTATGAGATCTGATGAGGGAGAGTGGGAGAGGAGTGGTCTCTGTGCTGCTGATTGAGGGATCACCATGTTCTCAATAATTGTTCAGTCAGCCAAAGGAATGTGATCTGTGCTAATTAGAAGGACTCTCCTTCCATCATGGGGCTGCAGTGTAATTACAGTCAGTCTGGGCCTAATGACACACACACCATGCAGTACCACTTCTTGTCCTGTGGGGCTCCTGTTCTCTGCAGAAACCCCAGCTGCAGTTACGTGACAATATAGTTATTGCACTTACTTTGATTTTATGGAATAATTAAGTTGTTTACTTGCATAGCAAAAGAAGTGTTTGCTAATTGTTCTAGTTTGTGCAGGCTTAGATACTCAGGTTAGTGACTCAACTGAGTTGAAACAGAAAGTAGGTAGCTAAAATAATCAGCCATTAAAGCTGCACTGTCCTGTGAGTGCTTTTTAATCTATTGCTCCTCTAGTGCTGTGAGCACAACTTTAATCAAATCAGAGTTAGGGTTTAACTCTGGGATAGTCATATTATGCTCCAGTATATTCATGCAGGTTGATCGTTGTCCATGATTTGACATTTCACTGCTATGTTGATTTCCTCTCTCCTGTATTTCTGGAAATGGAAAAACAGTTTTTTTCCAGCATTGTTTCAAATTGTTTCATTGTTGACAACCAAAAGTGTTTTTTTAATGCAGGTCTTGCCAAATTTCTCATTGTGAGGTGTACTGAATGGCCTAATCAGTGACTTATCAGCAGCAGAGGAATTGTAACATGCACAGGCCGACAGCCCAGGTGGCATGTAGCTGACATAAATAATGAAGACGCATTAGCTGGAGGATGATAGCTACAGTAGTCAGAGCAGAGAGACTCACACAGAGAGGTAACCATGTGTGACAAAGCTGCTTTGTCATTATGCTTTTTTTTTTCTTTGGGAATTTAATGTGTTTCTCTGCTGGTTCCACTCCTCCTACTAAACACTGGCCTTTGGTTTTGAATTCAGTTTTGGCTGTTTCTTAAAGAGGTTACATGGTGAAAAATCAGTATTAAGAGTGTCAGAGATGGCGCTTATGTATTTATAGTTTAAACAAGATATTGAGCTTATGTATTTATAGTTTAAACAAGATATTGAATTTGAATGGGGTCACTGTAACAGCAGAGGAAGAGTGTGACAATGTGTAGGATTGTACTGTGTTTTAGTGCACATTAGCAAATGTTGGCATGCTAATACTCTAAAGATGGTGGACACTATGGCTGCTAAACATCAGCCTGTTAGCAAACAGTCTATGTGACAGCCTCATGTAGCTGCTAGCATGGCTGTGGACTCTTCATTTTGTTTCTGAGTTACTGGTACAGCGGGGGTAGCTCAGTGGTTTCAAAACACTTTGCTCTGGGTGACCCCTTAAAATGAAGCAATGACCTCACATCACAGTGTGAGGCTTCAGTGTGAAAGTGAACTGTGAGCAGTTCTATCACAAAGTCAGCTTTACTTCTAAGACTGTTTCATCTAAAGAATTGCCCTGAAGAGGTGAAAGTATCCAGAATTTCACAAGAATAAAGCCAAGATTAGAGACAAGAAAGAAAAAAGATAGTTGTGTAATAAACCCTCAGTGGGAAGCCACCAAAGATACAGTAGCCTAACCCTGAAGGGGTTTTGCTTCATAGATGGAATGATATCCTGGTATTATAGTTATTATAGTTCAGTAGTTATGTAACTTTGTTTAAGTGAAAGTAAAGTGAGCCATTTTAATAAACTTACATATTCAATAGGAAGGAATCTGAGTGCACAAGGAAGCCACAAAGTACTGAGTGAGTGGGTTTGTTCTTTTAATGGGATTTAATGACACCCAAAAATATAGAATAACACCAAACTTATTGTTCTTTTAAAATACAAATCTCAGCACATGCTAATTATTGCTAAATACTGTTGAAGACTAAAGCTAATAGGCAGCAAGATGGTTTTTCACATGTAGTATTCTCCTGTGAGAGCAGCAGTGGTGAGGTGAAATGGCAGGCGGGAGCTCAGATGGCTTGTCCCCCGTGTGGATCCCTGAGCCTGCGCCATTGCTCTGATGCAGCTGCTCCTCTGTTCTCCATTTGTGGCTTCCCCTCCCGTAACCTCCCACTCAGCTCCCAAGTGGAACCTACATATAGTATGGCTGTACTTTAAAATGTATAGTCACTGCTTGACTTTAAAAAATAGCCCACAGTATGGAACTTTTTGCCTTGAGGCAGAATGTGTGTTGTTAGTCTTTCTCTCCTTTCCCCTCAGCTGGTCAAGCTCCTGCTTTAACACCTGTCAGTCATCCTGATGAGCTGTCTCTTCCTTTTGCCTGAGGCTGAGGTAACAGGCACTGACAAATCAGAAGACAGATGATTTTAATCAGAAAAGAGCCGTACAACATTAGCCTAGATTTGCGACGGGACTCATCTGGTACAAATTTAGTTCTAAAACATTTTCTCTGAGATGTCAGCTCAGATGATCCCCTGACATTTCCTCTAGTGGCATCATGGGGCCAAATTTTTAATCCATCTAGTAGTTTGGTTAATAATCAGATAGATTCAGATCTAATGATGTTCCCATAAAACTCATCTGTTCTCTGTGTTTAGGGCTAATTAGCAAATGTTAGCATTGTTGACATGGTAAGAAATTTACACAAACACCAACATGTTAGCATTGTTAGCCAGTGGTGGAAGAAGTACTCAAATTGTTTACTTAAGTAAAGGTAGCAATACCACCGTGTAAAAATACTACATTAAAAAAATACTAACATTCAAAATGTTACTTAAGTAAAAGTACAAAAGTATTAGCAGAATATATACGTTAAGTACCAAAAGTAAAAGTACTCATTATGAAAAATGATACAGTTTACATTGATGAACGTCATGTTATTTCATTATATTTACTGATGTATTATTGTCTGTATCACAAGTAATGTTGTAGCTGGTAAAGGTGTGGCTAATGTTAACTACCTTACCATATATATGCTTATAATTTGAAGTACTGTTGGGTACCTTGTGAATTTTACACCAAGGATTAGTAAATCTTGTGATTATACTGTATTTTGTTTTATTAACCTCTTTCTGAAAAGTAACTAGTAACTAAAGTTATCAAATAAATGTAGTGAGTACAAAGTAGAATGTTTTTCTGTATGTAGTAAAGTTGAAGTATGAAGTAACAGAAAATGAAAATACATAAAGTACAGATACCTCAAAATTGTTCTTAAGTACAGTACTTGAGTACCTAGTTGCTTTCCACCCCTGTTGTTAGCATTGTTAGCTTGTTAGCATTTAGTTTACAACATGGTTGTGCAGCCTCATGTGGATGGATAGGCTCTTCATCCTGAAAACCACAAAACAGCTTATCTTTCAACTAAAATTAATATTATTTAAAAAAAAAATCCAGTTCTTGAGAAAAAAATCTCTCTCTCTGTGACAAAGACACGTTCATAATTCCTGTATGGTTTAGCCTACTGTAAGCAAGAGGGACATACAAAAGGTCCTCTGTCAGATTTGAACTTTTAAGTCATATGACTGAAAGCCAGAAGGACCCTCAGTCACCATCCTGTTGATGGGAAGACAAAGAAGGGTGTATTGGACAGGTTTCAGTGTTTCATATGAGGACAAGGATCAGGAGCTATCTCTGTGATTCTGTGTTCACACATGCATCTTATGTTTTTCGTGTGTTGTCAGATGAGCATGTGCTCACCTGTACATGTTCTTTTCTCTTTGTTTCAACATTTCAGGTATCCAAAGCGGCTGCAGACCTCATGGCGTACTGCGATGCCCACATACGCGAGGACCCCCTCATTGTGCCCGTCCCAGCCTCTGAGAATCCTTTTCGGGAGAAGAAGTTCTTCTGCACCATCCTCTGATGACGTGCCGGTAGAGCTGCACAGGCACAGGCATGGCGTTGCCTGGCTTCTCTGTCTTCACCACACCTGAAGCTACTGGCCACAGGCGTTGAGTTGAGTTTTGCCAGATGGACATTCTGTTTTTGGTCAGCTCTGTCCTTGTGGCTGAAGGTTTTGGGAGAGTCAGCTACCAAACTGGCAACCCAGTGAGCATATTATGTCTTGTTAAATAGGTTTGTTATTGCTTTGTTATTAGAGAACAGCCTTGCTCAGTGCTTAATGAGATGAGAGATGTGTTTTTTCTGTTATTGTGCTAGATCTTAACATGCCTCAGGAAACAGAAATTTGCCCAGTGTCTATGACTTTTTAAAATATTTATCCCCCTTCCCTTTAGCTGAATAAAAAACATTCATTTTTGAATCTAATTTGAGTTAATTTTTTATGGCTTTCACTCCACAGGTTTGACTATTTGTAGCAACACTTACTGAAAGTAACACTGAAATTTGACACCTCTCAGTGGTTTCCATTTCATTTTGCCCCCAGAATTTCCAACAATTAACCTGCTCGTGTTAGCACTGCAGCACTGTCAGGTTCCAATTAGAGCTCAGAAACAGAAGCCTTATCTCACACAGTGAATTATTTCAGTTGTCCAAACTGCACTCATAATAAGAAGGTGGCAGCTGCACATCAGTTCTGCTGCAAATAAACAAAGAGACTCTGTTTATTGAAAGGCGCAGAGCTATTGTTTCAGCAGTGAGATGAATTCTTCAGGGTTATCACTGTGCAAACAACCCTTAAGTCAAAAATTATTTATGAATCTGCCTCCTCCTTCCAGGCCCGCTCTAATGCATTCTACCTTTACCACTCTGTTTGATTTGCTTTTTTCTATTCTTCATCCACTTCAAATGAGAGACAATATCGCTTTGTCCTGCAGCCCCCAACTGGAATATTTTTTTACAAGTTGCAGGGTATCTTTTCCTCTTACTTCCATAAGTGTCTCATTTGTTTTCTGGGCATGTTTCCTGAGCCTGATTCGTTTTGCCTGTCCTAGAGTGAATGGCGAGGCCTTTGACATTTATGCCAAACCAGAGGCCTGCATGTTTCTCTGCTTCTTTTTTGACAGCCTCCTCTGTTTCCGAGGGACTGTCAGTCCTTTAGAGTGTACAGTATGTTACAGTGCCAATTTCTGTGAGAGCAGTGTGATCTTCACACGGTGGTCCCACAGCCTTTTTCCGTTTGGTTTGGTTTGGTTTTGGAAGAAAAAGCACACTGTTGAAACATTTCCTTTACATGGTAGTTGAATAGCATTTGCAAATTTTTATGATGAAATGTTATGATCGTTATTAATATTGTTATTATCAGTAGTATTATATATTTGTTGCACAGCACTGACAGCTACATGATGTGTAGTGCTATTAAGCTTGTATGATAGAGAAAAACATTTATAAATCATGCAGCTATTGATACTGTCTGAGTATTTTTTAAAAATAATGATAAGGGTCAATTTACATAATATGATCCCTTCAGTGGTTCAGGCTTTTTGCATTGTTTCTGTAAAATTAATAGAAATTTCCTCTTAGTACTTGAGTAGTCATTGCAGTAGAAATCAAAGTCTGACACCAGACTGTCAAACACAAACTACTGGACTCAAATTGTTTTCAGGATAATTACTGTTACTATTACCTGTCTGGAAACCTGAGGCTAACTTCAGGGTGCTCTCACTGACCTCATCTTAAGGATGGTGCCAAATCTCAAACTAGTATATCAGCTAGACATGAATATTGCATGGATTTATTTCTATCTGTGAAAAAGTCTTAGGCCACCATTAGTTTTGCTGCTTTGGCACAGTTGTAATGATCATTTATATTTATTCCTCAGTCTCTTTATTAAGATGTAACCAGAAAATAAAAAATGTATATACACAGTATTTTTTAAGAAAGGCGAAAAGCAAACATGGCTTCTACAGTCTAAGCTCAGTCTTTAGTGTGACCTCCCCTTGTATTTAGCACAGTTTGAATTCTTTTAGGGAAACTGTGTTGAAGTCTTGAAACCATGACAGACCCTCCAACCTGTTTCACAGAAGGATACAAGCACTGATTCTTCCAACTCTTCTCCTCACATACTGTTGATGATTGGATCCAAAAATTTCAAACTTTTATTCATCACTCCATGATCTTCATTCCAGACTTTGTGAGCTTTTGCATATCTCAGTCCTTTCCCTCTGTCCCCTTCTGAAAAACTGGTTTCTTGGCTGCTGCCCTTCCACAAAGGTTGTTCCTGGTCAAGCTTCTTCGGACTGTGGAAGGATCAACTTGGCATCCAGATGAAGATGCCAGATGCTGAGCCAGGTCCTTGTTGGATTTCTTCTGGTCTCTCAAAGAAGAACCTCTGAGAAACTTCTCATCAGATTTGAACAGTTTTGTTTGTCTTCTGCTCCTGTTTTTGTTCTCAACGTCTCCAGATTCTGCATATTTCTTTGGAACAGTTTGAATACCACATGATATTCTGATAAAGAGACTGAGAAATAAATCTATACAAGAAAAGGTAATGGCACTGTTTGAGATTTCCTGGTTTTCTGCATAAATTGGTCAAGAAATATGATCTGATCTTCACCAAAGTCACAAATATCAACAAACACAATATTTCTAAACTGATAAAACACAAACAGTCATGAACTTTCATGTCTTTATTGCATACTCCACAACACTATTGGGAAAATGTCCTGTGGACAGATAAAACAAAGGTAGAATTGTCTGGGAAGAACACACAGCACTACATATGGCATAAAAAGAGAACCACATACAGTACCAACATGAAAACATCCCAACAGTGAAGTACAGTGGAGGGAGCATCATGATGTGGGCCTGCTTTGCTGCCTCTGGATCAGGATCGCTGCCATTGTGGATGGGAAAATGAATTCCCAGGTTTATCAAGGAATCCTACAGGATAATATCAAGGTGGCTGTCGGCAAGCTGAAGCTCAGAACAAGCTGAGTGATGCAGCAGGACAATGACCTTAAACATCGAAGTAAATCTACTATAGAATGTCTTTGGAGACAAAAAAAATTACCTTTTGCAGTGGCCCAGTCAGAGCCCAGACCTCAAACCAATAGAGATGCTGTGGAATGAGCTTAGAGAGCTGTTCACACCAGACGTCCTAGGAATATGGCTGAGCTGAAGCAGCTCTGTGAAGAAATGGTCCAGAATTCCCCCTGAACATTGTGCAGGACTTATGCACAGCTAAAGGAAATGCTTGTTTGTAATTCTGCCAGAGGTGGTTTAACCACCATTATTTTTTCCTCCATCACTTTGTATGCTTAATTGGCGTGTTCAACAAAAACATAAAAGATCATGATTATTTGTGCTTTATCAGTTTAGAAATATTGCGTTTGTTGATAATTGTGACCTTAGTGAAGATCAGATCATGTTTCATGGCCAATTTATACATAAAACTGGGAAATAGCAAACAGTGCCATTACTTTTTCTTGTGCCTGTATAGTCATCATAACATTACTAAAACTCCATCTAATGGTGACCTAAGACTTTGGCACAGTGCTGTATAACAGAGAGAAATATTATCATATGAAAAATTGACTCTCCACTGACTTTCTGGGTGCTACTCTGCACATAATTATTTCATTGGAGTCTTGATATGTCGACAATGTGCAGCTGTATTCATGAATAGTATTATCATTTTGACAAAAACAAGCATTTAAATAGCAGGCTTTGTAAATCCTTCAGTGGATCAAATGAATTAAATGAAAACGGCAACCCAGACGTGCTGTGTCTTCAATATTTCTGCTTCTTGTCTCTCACTGATGTTTCAAGATACAATCTGATCACACTGATAACATGAAAGGCCGCTTCAAACAGTGCTGGGTCTCCCAGAAGAACATGATGTTCTGGTGTGTAATGGAGACCTCCTGTGGCTGAGCTGAACCACAGACCATCTGGATGCACAGTTCATGTGACCTGGCTGTTTTTTTAAGATTATGATTCAGTTCGGGTGCAGCCAGGTTGCCCTCTACATTGTAAATAGAATAAAATCAGTGCACCTGCTGACTGCAGATCGCATGAAAAGCATCCCTAAAAATAATTCAGGATATCAGGTGCTGAGGTCAACTTATAGATTGACTGTTGCTGCTATTTAATGTGTTTATCCATGCATGTGTGTACAGCCTCACCTGGGAGTAGACAGAAGCAAAGTTTGGTTGATAGTAGGTATTTACTTTTAAATAGAGTCAACATTGCATTTTCTGGCCAGACAGGTCATGAATATGCAAGAAAGTCAACCTGGTGATTTGCTATCATAGCTCGCATTCAACTTATAAAAATCAGCAATAACTGCAGATTATATAAAATAATATGAACACTTTTGATTAGGTGAGGTATTCCTCGCTGATTTTGCTGAACCAAATCCCAAAAAAGGCATGAGGATGAGTTACAGAGGAGAATTGTTTAAGCCTTATCTACATGTATTTCAACGTAAAGGCACTCAGTTGTGTTATCTCAATCAGCGTCTCACCTGGAATGATGGGGTCCAACATGAACTCAATATTGTCTCCTAAATTTGAAACCATTTTGTTTTTATCACATGTCTGTATTTCTCTTTTTTCACTGTTCTTCTCATTGGTTTGAGGTGAACAGGGTTCAGCTGGAAAACAAACTTTCTCACGCCAAGTGGGATTAAGCAACTTGGAATGAGAATATGATCAACATTGGTGGGTTGTTCAGTCACTGTCAATATCATCAGATTAGTTCATGACCTTACAATCCTGATTAAGCAGATTAACTGAGTTTTGGAGTGTTTAACTCTGAATAGATGTTTATTTATTTAATTTAAATTTAATTGTTGGTCATTTAGGCTAATTAAGGTTATAGAAAAGAAATTAGGATTTATAACCAAGTTGCATTTACAGTATATTCTCCAAAATCACAAAAGTAATCTACAGCAACAATTGGGATTAAAAAAAATAATCCTCTTACAAGAAAAAGTTGTATAGAGAGAAATATAGTTCTATATAGTAAAGGCTCACATTATAAATTCAAAAAGTAGGTCTCAATATTATTTGTTATGCATGTGATTGTGAACTGACACCTGAATGCATAAAGAGAAATTTGTTTAGATCTGGTGAGAAATGCAATGGGTGCTGAGCATTTTGAAAGCTGCAAGCAAAGGAGAAACTGAAAAGAACTGCATATAGCATAAATTGGTTTCAACTCATAAATAAAAAGTTAAGCAAGAGTTGAGGACATAAATAACAACAGATGAGGGTTGAATATGTACAGCAGAGAGGGATGTTTGTTTCAAGAAACCCCAAAAATGCTATGAATAGGCTTTCCTGTGAATTCTTATTAAAATGAATATTTTGTAGAGCAAGAACTAAATCACTATAATGAATATATCTATGAATATGACTCCAAAAGGAATAATATGATACACAGAAAGTAATTATGTCTGGAGTAGTAGGTTATCTAATATGGAGCGTCTGTGCTGGAGCAGTTTTCCAAATTGAGCAGTGAACATTCAAAATACACAAGAACAGTAATACTTTTTGATAAGATTATTTATCTGCGGTCACAGCAGGCTGTTCTGGAGCAATTTCTATGATTTCTCCTCATAACACTGTAGTACAGAGAGTTGCAGAGGGGCGATAAGGTCTCTAAAATAACATTTAGGCTACAATGGAACACCATTAAAATCAAAACAAATGAAATGTTCACAAGCATGACAGGAGGCATTCTCAGTGGCGCTGCCCCTCTTCCTCTCCTGGAGAAAGACTGGTGCTCTCAGAGTCAGAAAAAATCCTGTTCAAGCACCCCTCTTCATGCACAATAGATTCCATTTAAATGATTTATGTGCAGCACAGGGTAACAGATTTAATAAGGTTATGGTCTAATCTTAATGCTATAACATGTCACCTGGGTTTTAGGGGGATAAAATGATTCATATGTTAATTTTCTACTCTGCTGAGAAGGTTTCTCTTACTTTGTTGGAAATTTGCAGGGTGGTTTGAAGCAAAACAAACTGACACTTCTTTTTGTGATAAACACGGGAAGGTCCTCAGCAATACTGCTTGTCACTTTTATCAGTGTTTCATTGTTTCAATTTACTTTCAATAACATGCTTGCTATACCATTCGACTAATTTAATGGGGTTTGAGTGAAAATTGAAACCTAATGGGGGTGCTTTCTTTTTAATGGAATCTGAGGACATGCTAAATATTTAAATCTATGGTCTAAACCCACTGTGGTGCACACATTAATCTTTTTTAATAGGCCATGCACAATTAAAATAGCAAGAAGCAAAAATAAAACAGATAGATAGATAGATAGATGGATATTATTATTATTATAGTGTTGTTTTTGTTATTATTGTTAGAATTATTATGCGCCTCACTATGAAATCATAAATATATGTAATTTGATTGGCTAAAGCGCATTAGACTTCATCTCCCAGAGTGCACAGCGGCAGAGCTCCTCGTCTGTCATTGGTCCAGCTCTCCGAGCAGCGGAGGTAGACATGAGGCAGTGGTGAGAGCCCGGCGGAGAGCTGCGGAACTGAAATGAAGCTCACACGCGGAACGGCTCACACTGTGCAGCGTCGTGCGGCTCAGGAAGAGGCTCCGACCGCGTCGCCAAACCTGAAGGCTGCGCCTGCTGAATGAAGGACTCCGTCCATGCGGAGACTAGCGCTCATTCTGTTACCCTGTGCTGTCGCCGTGCTGGTGCACTTGTGGTTGGCACAACGACCCTGCTCTACCCCGCTGGACAACAACACACACTCGGGTACTTTTTAGCCACAACTCCGTGCGTTACGTCCTCAGAGCTTCGTAACTTTTTTATTTCCGAGTCGCTTGCTAACTTTGCTGTTACCGCTCCGGTGTCTCTGTTGTGGTAGGCCTAATAGTTTGTATGAGAACAAGTAGTTAATGCTTGACTTTGTGTTTTCGCTGCAGAGTGTGTGTTTTAGTGGGAAATAATGTGAATGTACCAGTTGAGTTGCAAGGCGTTGCTGGGATAGACTGGAACAAGCTGAGCATCTCTGTCTTGTCACAGTGCGACTACTGAGCTCAGTGCTGGCTGCAGATGGATTAGCACTTATCAGGGCGATACCCACTTCTTTATCAGAGGAGTGTAGTTTAACCAGCCTTTGATGCATGAAGACATTCATTTTCATGAGCTGGACTATCGCTGTCAGCTCACACTGAATATCAGAGGAAACCTCTGTCAGGATCAGGAATGGGAGGCTTAAATAAAAATGTCTCCAAGTGTGATTTTTATTTTTATTATTTTTTATTTCTGGCTGTTGCCTTATCATAGTCAACAACTATGGGTCATATTCTACTCCCATCTTTACATTTAACACCTCATCACGAGGCAGAACGCTGCTATTGCATCCTGTTTGAAATTCTCTGTCAAAATGTAAATGTTTCAGCCCAGTCTCTGTTTTTGATACAGATGAAGCATTACCTTTCTATGAAGTTTTGGTGGGAGTGTTGTCAGCAAGACACCATTATGAACTGCGACAAGCGATAAGGGAGACCTGGCTGGGCTACCTTCGAGATCACCCCCTCTTCCAAGAAAGGTCCGTGGCCCAACTTCACCTCTTGTTTTTTTCCCCTGGTTAGATTCATTTAGTGGAAATAAAGCCCACAGCTTGCAGCAAGTAACTGACTGCCCTATCAACACTTTTATCTCCACCTGATCATCGGCCAATATTCTCTTGTTCATTCTTCCTTTTTGTCCATTTCCTTCTTATTCAGCAATCGCAGATAAGGCATGATGGCCTTTAAGCAACCCTTAGTAACCATGGTAACGGAGGGTGGATAGATGGACCAGCTTTACAAATCTTGTCACCTAATATTCAGCTAAAACAAAGATGAAAGCAGCTGTATTTGTACTTGATTTCAGAGTTGGGGTGAAGTTTATCGTTGGCCAACATGGGTGTCCCATCCCAGAGGAGGACAGAGAGGATCCGTATTCCTGCTCTCTCCTGAACTTCACTGAGCCAGGTACAAAAACAAAAAACTGCCTCACACACTGATGACCTGCAGCTGCAATACAGAGAAATGTTCTTTGTGCCATCTGTTGCTTGCATGTGCAGTTGTTAATAGTGGAGCTGTGGTGGGATAATGGGAGATGAGGTGAAAGAATAAGAAGTAAAACACCTTTATACCTTTTCAGCAACAGCTCAGGGACACAGTTTTATTTTATTTATTTATTTTTTTAAACTTACTATTCCCAAGGCCAAAGCAGTAATGTCTCACAGTCAACGGAGCTGCTGCTGCCGCCGTAACCGAACCTGCACACTAGCACTTATAAGTGAAGCTATATGAAGCACTGACGCAGAGTATGTGCAACAGATCACGCTCGCTCTCAGTAATTGTTATGTCTGTCACCTTCACAGAGTCAGTCCAATTCAAATGTTTCACTGCTTCAGTGTCTGCTGCCTTCATGAGAACATAATTACTGCTCATCAGAACAGCCTTTTTAGACGACAGCCTTTAGGGTCATGGCAGTGTTTCATTTTTCCAGCCCATTCTCTGCTCTCCACCATGGTAATGATTTTAAGTGTTGACGTGATTTGCTTCAGAATCGCAGGCAGACGAGATGTTTGTTATGACTGGAACACAGTAGGGTACCTGACTTGGGATTCAGGTCCAAGGGCATGTTAAGTGGACAGTTTGCATATCTGTTGCTGTAATTTGTTTGTGCTTCATTCATCACAGGGATTTTTCTGTGGGACTACAATAAGATGAAGACTTTGTTTTAGCAGTGCTGCTCCCAACACAAGGGGTTAATGATTTGTAGTGGTGACAGAGTCAGAATTGTGATGGTATTTAAAGTTTTTGAGACTTGAAAGGCTTGTTTTTTCACACTGTGTAATTGGTGTGTTGACTTAATATGATTAGAGATGAGCAATTAATCATTTGTCTTTTATTTTTAGCAAATGAACTGAAAATCAGTAGTTTTGGCAGTTTCATTAGTGAGTGCAGCTCTGGTTTTGGGTTTATTTGTACATACTTTAATTATTTCTTGAACTATAAACAGTTTATTATAATAGAATTTAAATTGTTTAAAAGAAATACTGCACAACAGCAATTCCCTTCTAATAATTTATTGGTTTATGCCAAGCTTTATTCATTTTTACCCTCAGTAAACTAGCAACACTGAGCTGGCCACAACCAAGAGAGACACTGCTGTCGGTTTGTTTTGACAAATGTGCACAAATTAAGCTTTTTATTTTCAGTCAGCACAGGAATATTGAATGCATCCTTGCACACTGGTTGAATCTTCCAGCTCAGTTCTTTGTGGTCAGGGTGAGAGATGTTTGGTCTGATAAACTGCTGCTCTGTCTTTACCCTCGCCTCTAATTGACTTAATTTTGGAGTGAGCAGCAGAACTTGTGTAGAGTGCATGTAAAGTAAAACGCCTGCTTCTCTTTAACAGCCTTGATCTTTTCATTGATCTCCCGGGTAATAAACTGCTCTTTTGTAATTAAGAAACCACACTCATGAGCAGGAGCACACTTTGAAGACAGCAGTCCCAAGAACCAGCTCCTCAAACAAAGTGCTGATGGTGTAGCTGTACCAGTCTGCCTTCTTCTCCCACTGTTCTCCCTCTCCTTGAATCACCTGGTCTCTGTCACTGAAAAGAGACTGTCAGCATGTTGGGGTCATAATACATTTTATGTGTGTTTGTGCATTAACTGCTGTCCCCCCTTTCCCAGTGACAAGGCAGGATGCAGAAATAGAGATTGTGACCGTGTCTGACCCCTCAGTGCTCATTGCCTCCGACGTATTGGCCGTTGCCCTTGATTTCAAGGTCCTCCACCCTGTGGTGATCACCAGGTTGGGGGTCTTCCCAAGCGGGATTCAGCCTGAGCTCCAGAGTAACGTAACGGTGAAGCTTCTCCAACTGGACCAGGAGGTAACAGAGCCTCGACCTCTTAACATAACACGTCCTGTATGGCGCTTTTTGTGGGGCCTGGTAGAGACGCAGCCTGGAAGCAGCTCGAGGACTCAGTGCTCCTGCTGTTTACAGCTTCAGTTAAAGACAAAACCTGAAACCCCTGTGGATTGCTGCCATTGAGAGCAGTCTGTAGTGTAGTATTCAGTATAGATAAAAGTAAAAAAAATAAAAAACAACTATAGCTTCTTTATTAAATTCTTGATGGAGAAAAACTTGTGATTTTTGCAGGAGGCTGTGGTTACCGCTCGTTTCAGTGCCATCAGCACAGGGACCATGGTAAACGGGGTGTGGTACAAACCAGTGGAGCAGTTCATCTTGCCTAAGGTCAGTTTTTCACATTCACTTGGGGACATAGCCAGGAATTTAGAAATACTGGGGCCAATGAGTTGAAGTCTCCCGACATCCACCCCTCCAAAGACAAGAAACTCTCAGACATGTTTTAATTATTTTTAATGTTTGTAGCTCTCTGTTAAATTATATTTTTAGTATGCTTTTTTTATACGGAGCAGTTCTATTTAAGTCGGCTATAAAAAAAAACAACCTGTTTATAGTTAGTACCACTTTACTGTACATAGTTTTTATTGCAACGTGAATAATAACATATTTACAGGACAAAGGACATAACGTGTAGAAGATGAGACGACGGACATTAACAAAAGAGACAAAGGGATTATTCAATTTAGTCACACACACACACACACACACACACACACATATTCATAAAATACAATAAGTGAAATTAACAAATTAGTAAATGATTAGAAAGAGGAAATGGCGAAAAAGAAAGGAATAAAAGTGGGGGGGTGGTTATATTCTCAGTTAATCTGGTTTGATTGATAGGTGCGATGTGCTCAAAACAGTAGCATGGACAATGAAAACTAATATCAACAGTAACAATAATGAAATAAAAACAGCTTGTTATATTCTTATGCGTTTGTGGGAACGTGCGTGGCCTCGGCCCCAGGTATCTGGTTTAAGTTAAAAGAGGTTAGAAATGGATTCCAAGTGTCGGTGAAGGTTGGTATATTATTCTTATGGGTGGATGATATTTTCTCCAGTGTGATGTATTCTATGAGAAGGTTGGTCCAGTGGTTGATGTGTAATGAGTTTTTAGATTTCCACTTTAGAAAGATTGTTTTCTTGACGATAGTTAGAGCGATAAGAAGTGGGTTTTTATATTTACTTGGTAGGTGGTCAACTTCTGTGACATTACCGAGCAGGCAGAGTGACGGGGATGGGGGGATTCTACAGCTCAAGATAGTGGAGAGTTTCTCTGCCACCGCTACCCAGAGGGAGTAAACAGGTTGACAGGTCCAAGTAGCATGAAGGTAATCATCGGCGCAGTCCAGAGTGCATTGTGAGCAGGTATCTGTATCAGTGAAACCCATTTTAAACATTTTACCTTGTGTGATGTGAGTCCTGTGAATAGTCTCATATTGTATAAGCTGTAAGTTTATATTGGTAGTCATGGAGAAGATATTACAGATCTCGGTCTAGAAGTCGAGGCTGGGGGGGAGCAACAAATCCTTTTCCCATTCAGTCATTGGTATTCTTGTTCTATCAGTATTTGACATTAGTTTATAGAGTTTAGATATCATCTTCTTTGAGTTTGTAAATTTCATTATCTCCTCAGCTTGTTGCAGGGGGTTGTTGATTATATTAACCTTTGATTTAATTATAGATTTTAACTGTTGGTACTGGAGAAATTCTCCTCTTCCAACTCCGTACTTCTGGACTAATGTATTGAATGATATGAGCTGCTTGCTTCCAAATAGATGATGATGGTAGTAATTCCTTTGTGTTGCCATGTTGGAAACTGGATGGGTTGATATGCAGTTGAAAGTCAGGGTTGTGCCAAATTGGAGTGTATCTACATGGTGTTAATGATGTTAGTGGTTTTGTTTGCTTTCCACCAGGCTGCCAGAGTTGCAGAGATTGTGATATTTTTGCAGTAGTTCATTTGCTTAATTGAGTATGGTCAGAAGACAAGGTCTGCAACTGAAGTATTTTTGCATTGATTTTGTTCTAGTTCTGTCCATGACCTATTATAACTGTCCTTCTGAATCCATTTAACTAAATATTGTAGTTCATTTGCTAAGAAATAATGCTGAAAATTTGGTGCTTCTAGGCCACCTTGTGATTTGTTCTTTTGGAATGTTGATAGGGGAAATTTAGGGTTTCTTGATGTTCCAGTAAAATTGTGAAGTTAGAGAATCGAGTGATTTGAACCATTTATCTGTTGGTGTTGTGGGAAGCATCGAAAACAGGTAGTTAATTTGTGGTAAAGTTTTCATTTTGACTGTAGCAATTGGGCCAATGAGTGAGAGTTTGAGGTTGGACCAGCATTTGAGATCATTAAGGTTAAAAATTTGGGTTGGGTTTTTGTTGGGTTTCAGCGGGAGTGTCACGGCAGCCTTATTCATATATGTCGGTACTGTGGAGGTGGTTTTAATTTCTGTGGTAACTCTGAGAAATAGCTGTGATAATATCTGCCAGATGTCTTTATAAAATTCAGCAGGGAATCCGTCAGGACCAGGTGATTTATTATTTGGCATGGATTTCGGTGCTTTATGGAATTCATCCAGAGTGATGGTGACATCTAAGGTATCGATTTGTTCTCTGGATAGTGCGGGTAATTTTATAATGTTTAGGAAAATATACGTATATTTCAGGTGGATTTGGTTTATGATCAGAGGAGTATAGTTTGCTATAGAAGGCATGAAATACATTGTTAATATCCTGTGGATTATGAACAGTTTCACCTGTAGAGTCAAGTATGGATGTAATGATTGCCTTTTCTTTTTTTGTTCTAGTTGATTTGCCAAATATTTACCTATTTTGTTGCTATTTTGTTACTATATTGAAACTGTTCGTATTTTAGTTGTTGGATTAGGAAATATGTTTTTTTTTGTTGTATATAATACTTTTGTAGTAGGGTAGTCAGGGACCAGACCAAACGGTAAGAACACAGCTTTTAAAGTGTTAAAAAAAGATGGGCTTTTTATTCACCCAAAAATAAGGAAAAATACAAACATCAATATCACATAAAGAGGTCAACAAAAGATAAGGAAACTCAAAATGCAGCAAACTGAACTGCAAAACCCACTTATCTAACACATAGGGTAATGTATAATATACACGCCATCCAAGGTGTACTCTCAGTGGCAGGGTAATAACATGAGAGCAGACCCACCAAGGCTGGAGACTGAACAGTTCTGGAAGAGCATATGGGAGAAGGAGGTATCACATAACAACAATGCCCAGTGGCTGGTGGACCTAAGAGCAGACCACAGCAACCTCCCTGCACAAGACCCAGTAATTATCACAATGGCAGACATTCAAGAGCGGATCTCAAGTATGAAGAGCTGGACAGCACCAGGCCCTGATGTGATCCATGCCTACTGGTTAAAGAAGCTAACTTCACTCCATTAGCGCCTGGTGAGACAAATGAACCAGCTATTTTTTTCTTTTTTCAATAGAGCAACAAAGGAAGTGAAGTTATCAGAGGAGAAACGGTCAAGTGTTTGGAGAAAGTAAGTGTTTGTTTTATGGCTCATCTTCTGTCATTTTGTTCGTCCCTGGTAGGCTAGTGGTTAAGACGCAGCGCTCTAGCTGCTGCGGCCCATGTTCGAGTCAGGGTTGTGTCAGGAAGGCATCCGGCGTAAAACACGTGCCTAATGTCAACATGCAAGTCGTCAGTGTGACGATTCACTGTGGCGACCCCTAAACGGGAAAAGCCGAAAGTGACTTTCTGTCATCTTCTGTCATTTTGTTCCTCATAACACACAAAAATTGGCGGCTTTGCTCCCTAGAACAGAGATGGCCTGGTGCTGGGCCTGCTCTGTGATGGAGAATAAAGTGGGCAGTAAACCTGCACTAATGTACTGGAATACTATAATTATAGAATGAGTACCCTAAAAGAACACAAAAATGTATAAAGCATTATGCCGTATAAAAATACAAAGAGAACATTTGAATTTTGGCGGCATGAGAGAGGTTCATCTTTGCTGTATGCAGACAAAACAAAGACTGAAATAAACAAGTGTGGTAAGTAAGTGCAAGTTTAGTAATATTCTGTACTCGGATGATTTACTATGTATGTAAAATAATATAAATTGTTTTTGTATTAAAGGTTCAACCGCTTTTTTGGTTTGTCCAAAGAGCCCTTAATCCCAACTCCTGCTTTTGCATTCCACGTGCCAGCTCCTCCAGCACTTACTGACACTCCTCTGGGGTCTTCACAACTGCCAGCTGTCAGCCAGACTCCAAATGAGTAAGCAAATTTTTCTGGCCATTTACATCATTATTTGCAACAAATAATTACACATTTTCTGTTTAAGCTGATACAAACCAGGAGCATTTTCTCTAGGTCTGCTTCTCCTGCCACTTTCACACCACGTGCCAGGAGGAGAGAACTCTACAGAGAAATCCGATCCCACATTTGGGGAACTCTGGGAAAACGGCAAATACAAGGGTGGAGTATGCCACTGGGAAATGCACAGGTAGTAGAACCACATTCAGAATACAAATAAAGGGGGAACTGTTGGGTATTAAAAAGAGTACATGAAAATGGAAATAAGAGCTTCCCCTGGCTGTGATGTGAGACAAGAGTGGTTACGGATACTGACTACACACTGGAGCAACCATCAGCCACCTTCTCTACATGGATGACATCAAGCTGTATGCCAGGAGTGAACGAGACATCAACTCACTGATCCACACCACTAA